TATACGCGAACTCTGCGTACGGCAACAGTGACTCCCACTTGGCACCCTGTCAACAACCAAGGCACGTAGCATATCCTCAAGTGTCTGAATCGTCCTCTCTGACTGACCGTCCGTCTCCGGATGGTAGGATGAACTAAACTCAAGCTTGGTGCCCATCGCCTCATGTAAGCTGTGCCAGAATCGGCTAACGAATCTGGGATCTCTGTCTGATACAATCGTGACGGGCACTCCGTGGAGTCGGATGATCCCACGGGTATATATCTCAGCCAACTTGTCCTGAGACATCTTCATCGAAACGGGTAAGAAATGTGCTACTTTGGTCAATCTGTCGACCACGACCCAGATAGCGTCGTGATGTTCAGCCGACCTCGGTAATCCCGTAACGAAATCCATAGTGACTTCCTCCCACTTCCACCTCGGAATCGGCAGTGGCTGTAGGAGGCCAATTGGACTCTGATGCTCGGCCTTGACTTGCTGACAGGTAAGACACCTCCTAACGAACTCGGCGACGTCTTTCTTCAAGCCTCGCCACCAAAACGACCCTTTCAGGTCATGATACATCTTCGTGCTCCCGGGATGGGCCAAGTAGGGTGCGGTATGTGCCTCTGATAGAATCTCCTTCCGCAATGCCTCGACCTTCGGGACCACAATCCTGCCTCTGAACTCCAAGGCACCATCTGTGCCTAGCTGAAAATCCTGTACACCTCCAGCGCGGACCTTGGCCTCGATGACACGAACAAACTCGTCAGAGGCCTGCTCTCGCCGGATTCTTTCTCTCAGTGTCGGCTGAAGCTGCATAGCACTGACACTGGCACTAGTGCTCCCCGAGACAGCTGTGGGGAGTGCATCAATCGCCTGAAGCTGCATCCGGGCAAACTCATGAATCAATGGACTCTGCTGCGTGATAACGTACGTCAAGTCTCTCGTCACTTTTCGGCTTAGAGCATCTGCGACGACGTTCGCCTTCCCCGGATGGTACTGGATAGAACAATCATAATCCTTGACCAATTCGAGCCAACGGCGCTGCCTCATATTAAGCTCCTTCTGCGTGAAGATGTACTGCAGGCTCTTATGGTCAGTGAATATCTCGCAGTGTCCGCCGTAAAGATAATGTCACCAAATCTTCAGGGCGTGAACGACTGCTGCTAACTCCAAGTCGTGCGTAGGATAGTTCTGCTCATGAGGTTTAAGCTGACGTGAAGCGTACGCAACGACCCGTCCGTCCTGCATAAGGACACATCCCAAGCCCTGTCTCGAAGCATCGCTGAAAATAGTGAAACTCCGAGAAGGATCTGGGATAGTCAACACCGGTGCTGTCGTCAATCTCCTCTTGAGCTCCTGAAAGCTCGCCTTACATCTGTCAGTCCATTCGAACTTCACAGACTTCCTCGTCAGCTGGGATAGGGGGAGGGCAATCTTGGAGAAGCCCTCAATAAACCTGCGATAGTAACCAGCTAATCCGAGAAAACTGCGAACCTCGGACGGATTCCTCGGTGTCGACCAGTTCTGCACGGCTGAAACTTTAGAAGGATCCACCTCGATGCCTGCCTGGTAATAACATGACCCAGAAAAGATACTCGCTGAAGCCAGAACTCGCATTTGGAGAATTTGGCGTACAACTTCTCTCGTCTGAGGGTTTCAAGAACTACCCTCAGATGCTCCTCATGCTCCTTCTGACTCTTCGAGTAGATAAAGATATCGTCAATAAAGACAATAACGAACTGATCGAGGTATGGATGAAAAATACGGTTCATGAGGTCCATAAAGACTGCTGGCGCATTGCTGAGACCGAAAGGCATGACCACAAACTCGTAATGGCCGTAACGAGTCCTGAAAGCGGTCTTAGCGATGTCTGACTCCTTAATCTTCGGCCGATGGTAGCCTGATCGTAAATCAATCTTCGAGAACACACAGGCTCCCCTCAGCTGATCAAATAAGTCGTCGATCCTGGGAAGCGGGTACTTATTCTTAATCGTCAACCGGTTAAGATCCCGGTAGTCGATACACATACGCATAGATCCGTCCTTCTTCTTAACAAAGAGAACGGGTGCTCCCCAAGGTGACACACTCGGTCGGATGAAACCGAGTCGTAATAGCTCCTGAATCTGAGTCTTAAGCTCCTGTAACTCTTTAGGCGCCATGCGATATGGGGCTTTGGATACTGGACCGGCCCCTAGGATAAGATCGATAGAAAACTCCACCTGACGGTTGGGCGGTCCTCCTGGAAGCTCGTCTGGGAATACGTCCACGAACTCGCGAACGATTGGAACATCATGAGGTGTCCGCGCTTTCTGAGAATCCTCGACAAGGCTAACCAGATAACCCTGGCAATTGCCTCGTCGCAATAGCTTAGTGGCTTTCGCCATCGAAACAACCTGAGGCAGTGAACGGTTCTTGGAGCCGAAGAAAATAATTGACTCGTCTCCCGGAAGATAGAGAGTGATCTCCCGGTCATGACACCTTATATCAGCATGATAGAAAGATAGCCAATCCATCCCGAGAATAAGATCGAAATCCTTCATCTCGAGAACAAACGCGTCGGCAGTCAAAACTCGGCCACCGATGGAAAGGCTAAGATCTGAAGCTTTAGCTGAGGTCACTATCTTTCGTCCCGAGGCTAAACTCATCTCGAGAGGATCGACAGCGGTAACTGCGTGAACTCCAATGGCGTCGAGACATCGGCGTGAAATGAAGGTATGCGTCGCTCCGGTATCGAATAAAGCGAACACAAGAATATCATTAAGAACAACCATCCCGGACATTGTACCTGGCTGCTGTGCGGCCTCCGCCTGATCAACTGCGTAAATCCTGGCCTGCTGCCTACCCCTCTGCTGCTGCTGCTGCTGCTGAGGCGGCCTCTGTGCCTGCTGTCGTGGCTGCTGCTGCTGTGGTGGCTGCTGAGGCTGCTGCTGGAGTTTCTTCGGGCAACGACTCGCAAAGTGTCCCGGCTCCTGGCAAAAGTAACAGATATCCTGTCCAGCACGACACTCTCCCCTGTGAAGTCGACCACAAGTCGGGCATGGTTGAATCTGCTGTAGCCTCCGTCGTGTCCTCTTATCTGCCGGGGCACCTTTCCCCTTCCTCTTCTTCTCGTTGGCTGGCTGTGGGGCTGGTAGAGCTGGTGGAGCTGCAACTGGCTGAGCTGGGGCGGATGACTGAGCACGATCACGGACTGCCTCCCTCCTGATGCTAGCGTCTACCTCCTGGGCGATAGAAACGGCACGAGCGTATGTCTGAGTCCCATGTCCCACAATGTTATGACGGACTGCTGGGTATAGTCCGTCAATGAACCGCTGTGCTCTCTGGGCCTCTGTGCGAACAAGATCCGGTGCGAAACCTGCAAGTCTGGTGAACTCTCGCTCGTACTCATCGACAGTACG